TTAGGTCGTATCGGTCCGGAAAAATCGCCGGTGGTAAACTATTCTACAGAGAGGTTGTACGCGGAAGAAAACTCCTTTTGAAACCTACAGTGGTGGACCACCAAGCATCTAGATGGTGTGGATGCTTGTAGTGATTGCGCTGGATTAATCCTAACAATTCCTCACAGCACTCCCCATGGTATATGCGAAAGAAAATGCAAAGAGATGCAACATCTCTTCGCAGCGCCAGTGAATCGAGCCGATCGGAAAGCACTCGGTCATCGGCGATTCAAGTCGCTCTGCGCTGGATGCGGTCAAGTGGAAGGAGCTACTGGGGAACCCCAGCCCAGAGATAGGAACAGTATTCCATGTGCGGCCGAACCTGCGCCTTGTAAAGTTGCAGGCGGTGTCCCGGCATGAAATACTGTCCCGCTCTGCTGAGCACGCCAAGCTTTTTAGAGGCCGATTTGGCCTTCTCTTCCAAGTGACCACGAAACTGCACGTCACTCGATATGTCGACGCCGAGGATTCCGATACTGGCTGAGGCAACAAGGGGAGTGCCTTGAAACTGAGGAGATACGACAAAGGGGTTCTTTTTAGCGGTTAACGCGCAAACTCTTCTCTCTTCTTCTTGTGTCTTCTGGGGGTTAAACTGGACTAGATTGAGTCGCCCCCAATCTGAGACTCTGTTCAGCAGAGACTCGACTTCAGACACAAGATTGTCCCGGTACTCGGAGACGTTTTCCCGAGAAATAATGGCATGGCCGGTGTTGAGAGCAACACCAGTGCTTTCATCTGTATAGCAATTAATGTTACGGGTTTGCAACATATCATTAACATGCAGAAGAAACAGCGTTGGTGATAGCACGTAGCCTTGTGGAGCACCAGCATTAATAGGCTTGTAAACTGAGCTTGCACGGTCTGCAACGACCCCGATGCTCCGATCTGCAAGAAAGCTGGTGATCCAATCGCACAATTTCTCGGGAAGCCCATAGGAAGGGAGCTTCGAAAGAAGCGCTTTGTGCCAAACCCGATCGAAGGCCTTCGCAATGTCCAAACTAACGGCCAATGCCTCCCCCTTGGACTCTACTGCCTCCGCCCATCTGTGAGTTAGGTAGACCAGAACCTTGGACTCTACTCCCCGGTCGAGCCGACCCATTCGTGCTACAACTATACTACTAATATAACTGCAGCATGGCGCTACCACGTAAAAACACTTTTACGTAATTGAACACTGTGCTGTTTTTATGTATGCGGATGACCTGTGCATCTCTTATGCTGACACAAATCAAGATGAAGTAGGGAAAAACTTAAAAAGTGATTTTAACCACATAACTAACCGGTCACATTATTAAAACAGCAAATACTATAAGCAATCCCAGCATAATATTAAAAATGCAAAAACAATTATAAAATAATGGGTCACTCCTATTAATGTATACACGACAATATGTTTAAATGTGAATGTATAATTATAGAATTTGTAAAAACAATTAAATGCTTAAGCTTATCAATAGATAGAAATATGAGCTGGGGTAGCCATATAGAATAGGTGTATAATAAAATAAAAGGTATTTTTGGTAAATTCTATTATTTTACCTTGTTTAATACGCCACTAGTTCAGTCAACGTTACAATGTGGATTAGTAGCATATGGAAGGACATTTAAAATATTAACAAACCCAAAAGCTAAAATTAAATAAATCAGTAATTTCCATATCATACTATGAATTGATTTTACTCATGAGATATAAGCAAATAAACTAACACCATAGTTTGTTTTAAACATAATCTTAAATACTAGAAAATTTTGTGACAAACATTAATCATAATCATTAATTGGAGGCAAACATAACTTAGCAACAGATCTTTTAACAATTTTATCTCAACATTTTAAACTATAAACACGACATATATTATCCGGTCCAGGATGCTTTTGTACAATACGCCCCAAAAACCACTTCTCAGAAGGAAGATTTTCTTCCTTGATAAGTACAATGTTACCGATTTGAGTTTGTTTTAACCATTTTGGTCTTTGTTGCAGTCTAGCTAAGTATTCATTCTGCCATCTATGCCAAAAGTCCTGTAATAATCTCTGAGTATACTGCCAATGTGATAATCTATTTACTTGAATTTGCGTTAAGTCCGGTTCTGGAATGTTAATTGGAGCCTCACCAATTAAAAAATGTCCTGGAGTGAGTATCTCTAAAGAATCAATGTCTGTTGTACCTATCTATTGGACACTTTGGAGTCTAGAGTTCAAACAGGCTTCTATTTGACACAGAGTGGTGGACATCTCTTCAAATGTAAGGTGTCTATTTAAAATCCTCTTTAGGTGGTATTTAATGGACTTCACGCCTGCCTCCCAAAGGCCACCAAAATCTGGGCTGTATGGTGGAGTGTGCCATCTTCTGCGAGTATATCTGATAAAGATCCAGGAATTTCTAATCTTGCCTGTTGCCATAAATCCTTCAACTCCCTATTAGCTCCTATAAAATTTGACCCCTGGTCACTCCAAATATGACTACATATACCTTCCTTTCTGCAAGTATGATTCTTTTAGTAATGGTTTCAGAGGGCGTTGGTAAATTAATATTGTACTCCAGTATGTCCTTCTCCATGTTCCAGGATAAACCAAGTGCTCTCACCGTCCCGTGTACATCGAAATCAATATTGACTAGAGAGCTTCGTTCATCGGAATCGAAGTCTTTCAAAAAATCCAAACTATTAGACGCCCATTTTTGTAATTTAAAACCACCCTTTTGTAAAATGTAGGAAACTTCCTTTGCAGTTCTTATTGCTTTTGTGATATTATCTTGACCAGACATTAAATCATCCATAAAAAATCTTCTTTTATTGTTTTAGAAGCAATAAAATAAGCTTAGTTTTGTAGGCATACTCTACCCATGCTTTATGTGAATCTGGGTCCAATTTCTGTACGACCAGAAATATAATTAATAGATCCCAAGAATCGGTAGATAACTGCAGGTTATTTAAACTATTTAAGCATTCCGTAGTTGTATCTAGTAATAATTTTAATTGAAAAGATGCTTGTGCAATTACCTTTTTTTGTCCAAATAACCTTTTCATTATTGAGCTAACGATAAGCCTTTTATTTCCATACCTATCCTTTAATAAACACCATGCGTGTTCATAGTTGTCTTCTGTAATTTTAATATGTTTTAATAACGCTTCCACTTCTCCGACGATGCTTGATTTTAAATAATGCAACTTTTGAACCTTACTAAGTGAACTGTTATCAGGTACCAGCGATAAAAACAAATCATTAAACGACGGCCATATGCATAGCTCCCTCCAAACGAAGGTAACTGTATTCGAGGTAGTTTGACTTCTGGCGGTGACGCCTGACTTCCGGTCGTGCCCATGGTGTCCTTAGATTTCAACTTTCTAGGTGGTATCGCACTTAACATGTCCTTCAAGTCACCCTTTAAACACAAGTACAAATCCTCGATGTTGAAATAATCTTCATTAACAAAATATGATATATTTGGCCTTTGTTCTTTAGGTACACATTTAACTAAGTCCTGCTGCGTTGACTTAAATGTTTGCCAATATTCTTCGATGCACTGTATTCTCGTTTCAATATAACCTTTTGTTAAACGTTGTTTCGGACACGTTTTTTAAGTTTACTTGTGTCTTTTGTAATAGAACTGCCGTTTCTTCTAATACATTTAATATTTTTTCACTCATTTTCACGTTTCGTAATAGAATAAAGCAATTCAATATAGAACGTTAACGATGTTAATAATATTGCACTTTATATTTAGCGAGGGCCTTGGAATGCATTCGCTATTCTTAGTTACCAGCCGCTCGATGCAGTAAACAACTATTGATCCGGCTCTGATTCGACCATATGTTATTGTATTTAAGGTTCACTTTGCACTGACTATAGATTTTTGTAAATAAAAATATGTCTTGCTCTGAGGAGTGTTTATTGCAAACTGATTCTATACAAAGTAGTCTGTGACTGATTCATTAAAAACATGTTTTACACGACACATAGAAAATGTATGTATGTATAATTGTAAACACAACAATCCATATAGAAAAAGTGGGTCACATTTGTACCTCCTTTCCGAAGCTGAAATCCCCTCCCGGAACCCTCCAGTAAAGTACTGAGAGGGTCAAAGAGAGGCAGAACCAGATTGGACTCAGACAGTCGCCCTGGAATATACCCCTCTTATCCTTATGTGGTTTTCCGCAGCAGTCATCCGCTTGCCTAGATGACAGAATCGTACTCCACTGCCCCATACACTGCTCGAGGTGTACAGTTAATCTTGTACAGCTCGAAGACCCTCTTTAGCCATGTCTCGAACTGTACAGTCAATCTTGTACAGCTCGGGGACCCTCTTTAGTCATGTATGGGGCACCGAGTCAAATGCCTTCCTGTAATCTATCCAGGCGGCGGAGAAGTTCCGTTGGTTGCGTTTCACCACTTTGCCAATGACCACGTCAATGAGGAGTGGTTCCTTGATTCCACGACCGCCGCCCCGACATCCATTTTTAGCGTGCGACATCACCTGATTTGAGTCCAGGTGACGAGTGATTCTCGCGCTCAAAATGAATGTTAGTGTCTTGCATATGGTCGATAGACACGTGATGGGGCGGTATTTGCTCGGGTCTATGGCACCCTGATCTTCAGGAACCAAATGAGTGATCCCGGTAGTGAAGAGGCTCGGGAGCGACTTCTGGTTAAGAGCTTCTTGAAACTGTCGGGAGAGCACAGTGAACACCATGAAACCCTTCAGCCAGTAGTGATGCAGCCCGTCAAGCCCCGGACTTTTCCAGTTCGGGGCCCTACGGATCGCCTCAGCTACGTCATCCGGCGTTATTATGACGGGGTCCATGGGCGTAATACCCGCATACTGACTCGTTACAACTTCCGTCCAAGGGCCCTCGTTGTGGTTTACGGGCTCTGACCACAGGCTGCGCCAAAATACGACCATGTTGGCCTGATTCGGTATTGGGCCCGTTCCATTTACCATTGGTCGTTCCAATGATTTATAGAGCCGTCAGTTTTTGCATTATATCCGGCTGGGACAAACTAACATTTGTCCCAGCAAACGCCATCCTGACGATGCGCACAATCCTTGGCCTGGTATTGCCTGACCTGAAGCATATCAATCTGCCGATGAGGGCCCTAGCCTTTGCGATACGTTCTTCAATTCTTATTCTCCAGGCTGGGATAGCACTACTTTGTCCAGTAGCGCGTCCAGCCATGGTAAGTTTGGCGTTTATAATACGGCAGACTGCCAGTGCGGCGCCAAAAATAATTGAGTCCGTCTCGCAAAGGTCCCGGCTGGCTTCCAAATAGGTAACCAGCATTGGGTTCAGAGCCCTCACGACAGCCCGATTCCGCTTGCTTAGGGCTAAGCGTGGAAGTCGCAGTCGATTTTCGAGAGGCGTACTGCACATTTTCACAATCGCCTCTTCCAATGTACTCCTCATTTGCTCTAGTTCCAGTTCCTGGGCAACTGTTCCATCATCGTCTGAATCAACCACAACTGGCATGCGGCATCCACAATTTCCGTTTGCTCAGCAAGTTGTGGCGCCGCATCCTCAGCCGCAGCATTTTCACCCGATGAAGGAACAGCCTCACGTCGTAGCCGTTCGAGTTCGGTAAAATCAAATGTATTTGAGCGCAAGATATACCGAACTTGGTCTGCCAGGTTTTACTCGGTGACGGTTACAGATGGCTCCAGCTCAGCAAAAAGTCGATGCATCCTTGCCCGCTCCAGTTTATCCCCCTTTCACTCTAAAATACGCCCGCAATGCGTTGCTGTTCATCTGGGTTGTCCAACGCATGCGGCGTACTCCACCAGAGGCGGGTGCCGATTGCTGGGCCCGCGAAGACCCTGCCGACACCAAGCCAGCTGGTGGGGATGATGGATGCGAGGGGCTGCTGGGTGGTCGTGCAGCACCTCGTGTTCGGCTGGCGGTTCGCATGCTGTCGCGTCCAGCGCCAGATATAGACGCGCCCTGGCGACCTCCAGGCAGCGGCTCTTTGCGCGTTCTATTTAATTCCATCATCCATTTTTAGGGCGTCATTTAGCGGGAGACGCCCAGACCCGGCGCCGTTTCATGTGAGGCAATTTGCACAAGCGGGCCTTTGCACCTTCAATTTTTGCCGAGGCACGGCACTAACACCTCTTGGCAAGGTGCTGACTGACTGCGCTGACGTAGCGGTTTTGTCACATAGCCGTTACGTCAGCGGGCGATAGGGTCGTCACTTCCCTACGCCTTATTATTATTATTATGGGGGGTATCTATATAGTTTTCTCATCTGGTTGGGATCTATAAATATATAATTAAGAATGAAAATGAAAAGATAAATATATACATAAATATCAAAAAAAATAAAATAAATAAAAAAATACATAAATAAATAAAAGCCCACCAGATGAAAGCCCTCGGCAGTGGAGACCAAACGGCCGAGGGTTAGGGGGAAAGGGAAAGAAACCGGCGGGCGATGCAGGCAGTATCAAGGAGCACCGCCTTCTGCATTTGAGCCCGGAGCGGTCCGTCACGGAGTCCCAGTCGCCTCAGATGACCAGAGAGGCTAACTGGGATTAGCCCATTCGCAGAGACGACTACAGGAATAATTTCGGTCGGCAGACCACCCCACATGTCGGTCACCTCGTGAGCCAGGTCGAAATATTTTGATTGCTTATCTGTTTCGGCTTTCACGAGGTTCTCGTCATACGGGATGGTAATATCGACCAAAAATATCCTTGACTGTGCCCGGTCCATCAGCACAATATCAGGCTTATTCGCAAGAATAGTCCTGTCTGTGATGATGGCTCGGTCCCAGTAGAGCCTGGCGCGGTCATTTTCGAGCACGGCTTCCGGCAAGTACTTGTAATACGGCAATTTCCGGTCCACGAGACCGTATTTCAGAGCGAGCTCCTGGTGTAGAATTCTGGCTACTAGGTTGTGCCTGTGCAAGTACTCAGAGTTAGAAAGCGACGAACAACCGGAGATGACATGCCTAAGCGACTCACCGGGATGGCGACAAGCTCGACAGACGTCGACGGTGCCATCCTTTAGGATGTATCTCCGATAGTTGTTGGTCTTAATAACTCCTGTATTGCACAGATAAAACCCTCGGTTTCCCCGAAGAGTTCACCGAAACGTAGCCAGTTGAGGGAGGCGAATGTATCTACGAAGGGCTCATGAAGAGCCCTGTAGTACCTCCAGTGGAGCTCCTTCTCCTTCCATAGGGTCTCCCGGTCGGAAATACTAAGCACTGCTGGGTCCTGCCATTGCTCGTTGGCAAAGGATAGAGGGGTAAGCCCTTTATCACTAGAAATGACGTCATTATAGAATGGATCATCCGATCTCGCCAGGAAGTAATCACGGAGGCTGCACACTTCGCGATTATGCATGGTGAGCGCGCTCAGAAAACCACGCTCACCATACTTTCGCGGCAAGTACAGCCTCATTACCGACGATCTCGGATGATGCATCCTATGGGACGTCATGGTAGTGCGGACTTTTCTATCCAGGGCGTTAAGTTCGGTCCGAGTCCACCTGAGTATGCCAAAGGTATATATGAGGACAGGCATGACCCAACCGTTATATGCGTGTGTCTTATTCACACCGGACAAAAGGCTGTTAAGCACTTTGGTCAAGCGTGCATAAAATACGTCGCAAACTGACTGTTTCATACCAGCCTCATCGATACCGATGTTCTGTGACATACCCACGTATCGGTATGTTTCAGCCTCGGAAAGGGTCTTTAAGTTGACGGGCATAGATAAATCTATGCCCTCAAGTTAGCAACCCTTCCCCTTTCAACATGAAGGACCGCACACTTATCCGTCCCCAGCTCCATTCCAATAGAATTGCTAAATTGAATTGCGTCACCATATATGTTGGAGCGCAGGATGTACCGAACTCGGTCTGGCAGGTTTTGCTCAGTGACGGATAGAGATGGCTCCAGCTCTGCAAAAAAGCGATGCATACGAGCCCGATATGCAAAACTTCCGGTTTCTTCCCCTTTTGCCCTAAAGTACGCCCGCAGTGCGTTTGTGTTCATTGTTTGTGACCAACGCATGCGACGTGCTCCACCAGCGGCGGGTGCCGCTTGCTGAGTCCGAGAAGACCCAGCCGACTCCAAGCCTCCTGGTGGGGATGATGGATGCGGAGGGCTGCTAGGTGCTCGTACAGCTTCTCGCGCTCGGCTGGCGGCCCGCATGCTGCAGCGTCCAGCGCCAGCTCCAGACGCGCCCCGGCGACCTCCAGGCAGCGGTCCTATGCGCGTTCCTCTTTGTACCATCATCCATTTATGGGCGCCAAATAACGGGAGACGCCCAAGCCCGGCACCGTTTCGTGGTTCGATCATATGCACAAACGGACCTTTGCACCCACAATTTTGCCTGCACGGCGCTCACACCTCGTAGTAGTTTTGTCACATAACTGTTACGTCAGCGGGCGATGGGGTCGTCACTTCCCTACGCCTTTTTAATATTATTATTATTATAAAAACACCTTATAATTTATTTGATAATTTAATTATTTTTTGAGAAAGACAAAAGCAATAAATATAATTAACACTGACTTAATAATAGGTATTAATTATAACTTAGAACATAAATGAAAAACTCATGACAAGGAAAGTGGCTCAGGACCATGCTTTGCGGCAGTCTCTGGAGGGGGATGCTCAGTAGTGTACTTGTGAATAGCTGTAATGATGATGATGATTCGAAAACTTGTACGATTAAATTATAAGAAATCGACGTTTTTTTATAGGATAGGGTGACAAACGAGCACACAGTTCACCTGATGGTAAGTGGTTACTGTGGCCCACAGACATTTACATCTATCCTCGATTACGAACCAAAATGCAGACGTGTTGTCATCCGTGAGGACTAAGATGAAATGCCTCGTTTCCTTTAAAAAGGGTCTCTGGTTCTCTACACTCACTATACAAAACGCATTCTACGCAAGATATTCTGTAAGAGCGTGGTCCTTCTCCGGTCGAGCCCACCCATTCGTGCTACAACTATTTTTCTAATATAACTGCATGGTTCTACCCCGTATTTATACGGGGTAGAACCATGCAGTAGAGTCACGCATGCGTCGTTTACGACGTGCTTCATTTTTTTCATTTTAAAATTGTTCTCGTAATAATCTGATTGTAATTAAATGTTCATTATTTTTTTGATGAATAGCTTATCGATTAAAACAAATGTTTAAAAATAATTAAATCGCTCTAATTAAAGTAGTAGGAATGTTTAAAGTTGCCAATTTCAACTAAAAGGCTGGTAATTGGGGCATACACCCTACAAAGCGTGAATATAAAATTTAAATCAGATGCGTTTAATCACTCTTAGGAGCTTGTAGCAAACTAAACGCGCGCCAAACATGTGGACGCGGCGACGGCAGGTATACATTTTCGCCGCGCCGTAGAAAGAGGGGGATACTTCCACACCTACGCCGCGCCGGCTGTCTGTCTCTCTCCATCCGTCTTACGCTTTTTCGATTAGGGTCACGTGTCCTGACGCGAGTTTAACAAATTTTACCCATTACAGAAAAAGTGGCCAACGCCCTTAAGAAGTTTTCACTTCAAAAACTAAGGATCTTTCAACCAAGTAAGTACTGTAAGAAAAGCTTAAATTCATAGGTAATGCATAAAAATTATCGAATTTTTGACATAGTAGCGAGCCATAGGTAAAGAAATGTGTCATGTGCTGGCGGTTAATACCTAATTATCCGTCACTCGATTTCGTACCATGTGTACCGTAAGCGGTGTCTAAAGGCAAAACTATCTTTGAGTAAGCGGACTTTGAAACAAACAGCTTCCGACAGACGGCGGTTTGATCATCTTGTAACTTGCACCTGCAACGGGAAAGGCCCAATTGTAATTTTTCGTATACGCCACTACAAAGCACAGCAGAGTAAACCAAGACCTAGTAGTCCGAGGTGTAGGGCCAAAACGAGTTGACTGACTCCAGCTCCTGACTGATGATTCTTGATGAGCTTACTCCGTATACGCGATGGTGGACTGCAAAGAGAGATGCGGTATGCCGCAGAACGAAAAGAATGTTGTTATTTTACTATGCTTTTTTTACTATTCTTTTTTACTATACTATGTTTAATACTATTCTTTTCTCTACCCTCTACCATCGAAGCGTGTTGAATATTGGAGTTGTCACTGAAGCAAGAAGACTGGTGTTTTAAGGTACTCATTTCCTCCGTTGTGCTGGTGGCGATTGAAGACCTGTATAAAAAAAACAAGGAATTTGATTCTTGTTTTTTGGCCGTACTTTGTCCGAGGGAGAGAAGCTATCCACCACCATTAAGTCGTCTTCAAGAGAGGGCTGGTGCTGTAGTGAGTTATAGAATATAATTATTTATTTACACTAGTTATTGCACCTTAATAAAAAGGATTACAAAGGGCGGACTTAAGTACGAATACATTCCTGTAATCCTGTCGATATCAGACGTAGACGAAACATTATGTGGTTATTGGTGCGAGGCAGACTGAATCTGTTCTTCTCGCAAAGCAT